TTTTTTTATTTATATATTTAATTGTGTTGATATCTTTATTATGAAAATATTGTTTGAACGCTTAAATCTGGCACAAATGAATTTAAAAAACCCGCATTCGTTTTTTTCTTTTATTTTACAATCTTTTACTAAAAATACGTTTTTGCTTTAAAAACATCAGACAATTAACATATATCGTGCTGCAGCAATTGGAAATGTTTATGATGCAAGGAACTTGAAATTGAACCGAGAAACTTGGAAACTCGACATGAAAGAGAACATGTACATATTAATACAAAAACCACAAATCCACTTTTTGATAAAATTGATGGTGTGGTATTCATAGAATTGATACAAAATGCATTTTCCATTGTTTCAGAACAAAACTGAACCAATTATCACCTTTACACGTTGAAAGTTGCTTTTTGTTATACTTTTGAAATGACACTAGAAAACGACGATAAATTTACACGCGATGTTGAGATAACCGATTTTATATTATCTGCAATTATTGATTCCTATTGTGATAATTGATTATTTTTCGAAATGACAATTACAATTTTTTATTACCGAACTTTTAGTGAATTGTGTTTTGCTTTTTAGGACAAAAAATGGGGGTTTCCAATATGCCAGATTTAAGCTTACAAACAATAATTGATAACTATATATGTTAAAAAATGATGATTATATTTAATTAATTCAACAATTTGGAAAAATTAAGAATAAATTTAATGAAGGTTTATAAAATATTTAATTGTTATTTGGTAAAGTATAATTACAAAATTATAATTAGGTATTTATACTTATTACCTTATTTACAAAATAATAATTGATTCGACCAAAAAATATCTTAAAGTTGCTTAAGTCGTATCGATCTCAAAGGTCACCTTAACAAAAGAAAAAAACGATTACAATAAAATTAATTGTAATTTTATTGTGAATAAATTGTAAATAAGAATAATATAAACAATTATAATTGACAAATAAATAATTACTTTAAATTATTTATAGATGCTTTCCAATTTTGTGATAACATCTTCAATTTCAATTCTTTTGGTAACGTCTTGACACCACATATTGCTCACAATTTTGTATATATTATTGTTTAAATAAAGCGGTTTTTTCAGGCGTTTTCCACTTACTACAAAGTCAACGATATCCCATGCAAACTTAAATCGGATTTTGGGAAATGGTTCTTCCCATATGGCACATTCAAACAGAGAAACACCTAATGAATACACATCAGCTGCTTTTTTGTATTTTTCTTTGTTCAAAATTTCAGGTGCCATATATTTTGGTGTTCCGATACCTTTAGTGAATGTCATATTCGTCATCATTGTGTTAATATTTCGACTTGATCCAAAATCAGTCAATTTTGCATTCACTTTGTAATTAAAATCAAGTGAAAACACAAGAATATTGTCTGGTTTGATATCTCTGTGTAATATCCCGTTTTTATGTAGATACGATATCCCTTTAGCTGCGTCAATCATAAATTTTATTCGCATTTTGATATCAATATCTTCACTTGTTTTGTGTTTCATCAAGTCTTGTAAAGACCCAAATTGTGCAAATTCGGTGACCATACAGATCTTACTTGGTATAAACACCGCTCCATAGAAATGGATGATATATTCACACCTAAATTTGTCAAGCATTGCAACTTCTTTTTCAAATTCATCCATCGACTTATCATCATCCAAAACATTTTTCATTTTTTTGATTGCAACAACATTTTCTCTAAAAATTCCTTTGAACACAACACCAAATGAGCCTTCACCAAGTTTTTTTTCTTCTATCAATTCGTCGTAATCAATTCGAGTAGTCTGTTGTGTCGCACCAACAAGTGAGATTTCGTTATACATTTCTTTGTTTGTTTTGAGGTTTTTGGAAATCAATTGAATTGTACTGTTGATTTTGCAAGAACACAATGGCTTGACATATACAGAAAACTCGCATGCATAGCCGCTTTTAAGTGTGACAACCTCTGGATCAATACAAATTGTAAACTTTGTGATGTTCGATGAAATTGTGAACTGTATTTTGGTGGCGGTTTTGTTTGTGTTACCTACACACAACACCTGCCGGGTATCTTTGTTAACTTCAATTTGCTCGATGTCTGAATTCAAGTCAATTACATTTGACGAAACACAGACACCGCCTTGAAGAGGGACAAAGTTGATGTTGGATTTACTCATTGCAAAGAGTGTCGTTGTCTTTTCGATTTTGTGTGTGTGAAGTTTGTTAATTGTTGTTTTTGTTACAATGACAATTGACACAATCAATATAATAAAGACAATAAGAACACACATTACCACAACAAAAATGACCCACCAAACTATTTGTGATTCACACAATGTGCCATCTTTACTTGGTTTATACCAAAAAGAACACTTTGAACATTTTGACTTTGTGATTTCTTTGCATTTGAATATTTGTGAGAGACTAACACAACTTCCATTGGTAAGTAACACAAGTGAATTATTACATGAAGTACATTTGTTTCTTGATAATGTACATGTATTGCAGTTGTCATTGCATTCTTGACACTCATTTGTATTAATTATATAATACCCATCTTGACACTTTGAACACCCACTTTGTGTGACATTCACAGCACACCCAATGATATCACTTTGTGGTAAACAGTCACCACTATTTGTTTTGTAATTCGTTAAATTGCAGGTGAGACAACTGTATTTATTGTTACATGTTTTACAATTTTTATCACATTCAAAACAGTCAAGTCCAACTCTATAATACCCGTCTTTACACACAACACAGCCACTACCAAAACTTGCAAATTGATTACATGTTAATTTTAAGTCTTCATTTGTGTTACATTTGTAATTTGACAAAAACGTGTTATGTGGACAACTGAGACATTTGGTTGATGTTTCAAAACACGTCAAACAACTTGGGTCACATCTTTCACATTGTTTTGTCGACTCATCAAGATAATAAGTGTCTTGACATTTCATACACCCAAAACTGTTTTGTAAAATACAATTTGGTTCTCTGTATTTCTTGCATATATTATTGGATAAAGTATATTCACTTTCACATTCGTTACATTTTCCATTTGATAGATATATGCAATTATCATTTTTTGTTGTACATATACCATTTTCGTCATTTGGGAGTACACAATCATTTATTCTACATATTCCATTTGTATCCATTTGACTTGAACTGTCACACTTTGTCGCTTTTCCATTTTCACACAATTCTGAATATATGTATAAATCATTGCATTTCAAACAATTTGTTGTGTTGGATACAAAATTTTTATTACAAGAAACAATGTTATCGTTTGTTATTACTCCACCATTTTCATCACTTTCTACACATGTACCATTGTTGTTTATATACCCATTATTTCTGTTGCATATCTGGCACCTTCCGCTTAATTGCACAGTTATACAAGTTTCATCACTTTCACATAAACTATTTTTCAATGAAAAACCAGTTGCACATTTTAAACACCTATTTGAAAGAGGCAATTCACAATTTGCTATTTGTTCACATTTTGAGTTAACAAGAGCAAATTGACTTTTGCATAAAACACAACTGTTTTTATTGAAGGGACAATACTTACAATTAACATCGTCACAAATTGTTGGGTCTTCACACTTTTGAGACGTTTTGATGTATATTCCATTTGTGCAACGAATAACAACTTCAAGTATTTTAAAGCCATCTTTGGTGTTTATTGCTGCGTTGAATTGTACACCTTCAAAATTTAATTTTGTTTCTGTAATCAAAAGAACTGTCTTTGTCAATGAAAACAAATTAATAACAACTGTTTCTGGTATTGAAATACCAAGTATAACATTGTCTGTTTTGTAAAATGAAATTTGTGTGTTTCCAATCAAAACACTTTCAGATGAAAACTCATCAATACGTTTTAAGAGTGTTTTTGAACTTGTTTTAATTTGATCAATTTCAACAAACAATGACTTTACATTTAATAGTGGAGTGATATACCAATCTACTGTGTCATCACATGGACAGTAAGGTTCTGTGTATTTCACAATCCTGTTTGATACATTCTCAACATGACAGAAAATTTTATTAGAAGATCCATATCTCAATAATTTACCTCCTAATAACAACTTAGTACCAACTAAAGCTGTTTTTGTAATTGCCATCTGTGAACACATAACATCAAAATCGGTATCTGAATGTACAGTTGAGTTTGATATATTTAATGCTTTTGAACCCGAATAAAATACAACAGGAAGATCTCTGATATCCCTGTTATTTACAACAATTGTTGAATTAATAAACACAAATTCAGTACTAACACTGATGAAAGATTTATTAGTCACATTAAAAATACCAGGATAAAGGAAACTTATACTTTTAGAACATAATGAAAAGCAACTTCCATACCACAACGACTTTGTGGTAATTTGTGCAATATCTGAAAATCCGTTTAATATAATAACACCTCCGCTGATAACATAAAAAACATTTACGTTGTCAATTTTCGAAAAATTGTTTAAATAAAGATACGACTTTTCAACTTCAACTTTATATGAACCCATATTTATCTCAGAGTAATCGTTCAAAGAAACATGTGCTTTATTATAAAGGTATAAATTTTTAACTCCATTTATTTTCGAAAACGAGTTCATCACCAATGTGGCGGTATAAATGTACAAATAATGTGTTGAATTTATTGTCGAATTGTCATTTATTATGAACATAGAATCGCCATAAAAACCCAAAAAATATGATGTATTTATAAATGCGTTTTGATTCATAACAACTAATACATTGTTATAAAGATATAAATTATTTTTTAAATTTGTTGTAGAATTGTTTCCCATTTTTAATTGAGAATCATTATAAAGTTCGATGATATTAGTTGTTAAATGTGAGTTTTCATTTAGCTCTAATTTTGCTGAGTTGTTAAAAATGAATTCTTGTGCCAAGAATAATTTGGAATTTCCATATTGTACAATTGAACCATTACCTACACAAGTGACACTTCCATTCATTAGAACATCTGCATTTGATACCATTTTAAATTGTATGACATCCAGAGATGAAGTTGTACCAATAGTAATATTGTTGATTGCTGTACATGTATCAGACACTGTCGTATTTGTCAAAATTGTGTTCGTAAAACCACAACTTTGTGAAAATGTAGAATATATAAACATAAACCATATTGAATTGATAACGTGTATAAAACACTTAATCATTTTGTAAATAAAAAGTTAAATCTGTCAATTATATATTTTTTTAACATTTTTACAAAGTTATTATACAGTACGGTCATTAAACCTTATGTGAAACCTTGAGGCTTATGCGATTTTTTAGAATAATTTTTAGTATTATTATTATTATGAAAAACCATACAAAAATAAATCAAATCATAAGTTATTTTAGTTATTTCCATAAATATTAATAAAACAATCATTTTTATGAAAAAATAACACCGACATCAATTTAGACAATTCAGAACAAAAAGTGTGTACTGATCAATGTGGACATGGTTAAGATTTCTTATCTTAAACCCGATTTGTGGCTTTATGTCTCTTTGTTTTTTTAAACAATCGGGGAATGAATAAAAAATCCCGACCATGGTGTGTAATAGATTTTAAAAAGTTTTCAATAAAAACGAGTTATAAGACACTTAACAAATAACTTCTTTGAGTATGCAACGATTGTGTCTATCTGCTTTTTTGAAAGTCTTCCAGCTGCTACACATGACAGTGCTGTATTCAAAACTCACCAGTCGAGTGTACCTTGATGGTTGCTTCAATTGCCGCCTTGTCATCTGGTGAGAGCTTTGCTGCAATTTGCTCGTTGAGTGTGTTTTTCATCGAGTAGCAGTAGTTCTCAAGTCCATTCTTCGCCTCGACCAGTTCCTTCATCTTGTCGTCCTCTGCGTTGAGCTTCTCTGCGTCTTCAACCGTCTTGTCTATTTGCTTCTTTGTAAGTATTCCCTTGTCGTTCGTGATTGTGATCCTGTTCTTCTTTTACCTGTTGTCTTGTTTTCAGCCGAGACAATTTGCATCAACGTCGAACGACTTCAACTTGTGAAGATCACGTGGTGCGGGTGGGATACCAAACAACTCAAACTTGCCAAGCAGGTTGCAGTGTGATGTCATAGACGCATCACCCTCGAAGACTTGGATGAGGACGCCGGGCTGGTTGTCTGCATATGTTGAGAAGATCTGTGACTTCTTTGCTGGTAGAAGGCAACACGTCTTTTGTTGCCTTCTACCATTCACTTTACTCGCTTTTTGTACAGAGAGTGTGATATATTAGTTCATTTTAGTTCAACTCCTTTTGTTATTTTTAATTTTGTAAAATTGTCTTCTTATATTTTCCAAATCAATCTTTTTTATTTTTGTAATCGCATAAGGCTCATTGTTCAGTTTCTCTGTTTTTTTGTATATAGCAGTGTTTTTTGCCTTTTTAATAATAAAAGTATTGATTTTTTTCTAACATTTATAGTTTTTTATATTTAGAAAATCGCATAAGGTTGCGGGTATCACATAAGGGTGCATACCACATCTGTACAAAAATCTTTCATTTTGATTAATTTAAAAACTAGGGATGAAGTAAAATGGTGAAATAATTTTACTGAAAATTTATGTTTTAGTAAATTATTTGGTGAAATCATTTCACCAAATAGAACTATTTAAGTTCTTGAATTTTGGTTTTGTTTTCAAAGAATAATTTGATAAATACCATTTTAATGTTTTTGGCATGCCTCTGAAAAATTTGCTTTTTAAGAAAAAAAACTGAAGAAACTGTTTTTTGCGGCAAAAAAACGTCTTTGGTAAAACTATTTTTAAAAATACGCAAATAAACGGGACATTATGTTATATTGAATTGTGATTCCAGAAGATTCAATAATTTTTATCAAATTGTTTTTTGATAAATTAACAATTTATAAATATTTATCGATTTTTTATGTTTTATAAGCACAATAAAAAAACATAATATAAATTAACGAAAAGATAAATTTAACATATGAATTTTATTAACATATTTTCTTGTATAATTAACACCCCGAAAAAATAAAATTAATTAACGAAAAAATAATTAATAATTTAAAAATATTTATCGATTTTTCTTGTCAAATTAACACAGCGAAAATTTACAAATAATTTAACGCAATCAAAATTAACATCTTACTATTATTAACGTTTTTACATGTTAAATTAACAAACTAAAATGTAAATAATTAACGATAATTCAATAAAAATGTGTATTTCAAATAAATTACATTGTACAATATCTGTTTGTAATTACAAACATTTATTTGTAATTATTAATTAAATATTTT